AAAAGGATGCCATGGTCTGGGCCTGTCTCTCTTCTGACCGCGTGGCTGCCTCTCAGTCAATGGCAGGAGGGTTGGAGTTGGAGCCATGTTGCCTGCTGTAGGAGCAGAGCACGTCGTACACTCCTGTCGACTAATTCCTCAACGCTCTAATGCTGTCTTGTCAGCCGTTGCAGCAGGTGGTGTTACCTTCTTACAGTGGGATGCGTGGATCCATGTAGGTCGACCTTCGACCTTTACTGCGGTGTTTGTGACGAGTAGAACTGATAAGGTTTGGTCCACCGGGGCTGCAGTGCAGTCTTCCTTTGGTGGATCTTTATAGCCACGTAGTCACCTGGTTGCAGTGGATGTCCTGGTTCGTTCAGGGTTGTGGTTGTCCTTCACGAACCTGTTTGTGAATGGATGAGAAGACATAGTGCAACGCTTTGCAATAGTTTAGTACACTATCATGTCTCAGGGCCATTTCTTGAGGCACTATCATAGTGCCCAGAGATCCTGGGGTGCTCATGGCTCGTCCTGTAATCACCTCATATGGAGATAAATGATTACGTCTGCTAGTAGTAGCTCTGATACTCATCAGGGCCAGAGGAAGAGCCTCCGGCCAGCTAAGTTGTGTCTGTGCACATATTTTAGCTAGTTTGAGTTTCAGAGTCTGGTTCAACCTTTCAACTTTCCCTGCACTTTGTGGATGGTAAGGTGTGTGCAGGTGGTGTTTGATTCCTAGTGCTGTAACAACATCTTGCACTATTTGTCCAGTAAAATGAGTCCCTCTGTCACTATTAATGGATACTGGGATACCAAACCTTGGAATGAACTCTTTGAGTAAGGCTTTTGATACTGCTGTTGTGTCTGCTTTTGCAGTAGGAAAAGCTTCGGGCCATCCTGAGAATGTGTCCACCATGACCAGGACGTATTGAAACCGTCCGTGTTTTGGCATTTGGATAAATCAATCTGTAAATTTGAAAATGGTCCTGGTGGAGCAGGATGAGCACCTTGTTTCACTTTTGTTGTCTTTCCAACGTTGTGTTGTTGGCAAATGGCACATCTTTGTACAAAATCAGCACATGCCTGGGATACATTATTTGCATACCATACACGTCTAATTATCGCTTCCATCCCCCCTTTGTTCACGTGTGCTACACCGTGAACAGTCTGTAAGAGGTAGGGGAGGAGCGACTGAGGGCAACACGGGCGCCCGTCGACAGAGTAATATACATTATTTACAAGAACACATTTTGTCTGCCAGTGAGATCGTTCCAAGGGTTCGGCAGCTAACTGTAAGGCAGCTACGTCATGGACGGAGGGATCCGGGCTGGAGAAACCAGTGTTGAGGTCGCCAACACGGGAGCGAGGGCTCCTGACACCGCAGCGGCTTTTGCTGCAGTATCAGCTCTTGCGTTACCGAGGCTCACAGGATCTTTGGAAGATGTATGGGCGTCACATTTGAGAATAGCAACTTTAGAAGGAAGAAGGAGAGCTTTTAGGAGAGCCTCTACTAGGGAAGCATTTTTAATAGGGGTGCCTGCAGATGTTAAGAAATCACGATGTCTCCATTCCACCAAAATCAAGGCAGACACCTAAAGCATACCGAGAGTCAGTGTAGATGTTAACAGATTTATTCTTTGCATAGATACATGCCTGAGTGAGAGCCACTAGCTCCGCCTGTTGAGCAGAGAAGTGGTCTGGAAGTTTACCTGTAAGAATGGTGCCAGTGGGAGAAACTACAGCCCAACCTGAATCAAGGGTGCCCTGCAGGTTTCTAGAAGAGCTGCCGTCAGTGAACAGGGTAAGGTCAGGGTTAGACAAAGGGGTGTCAAAGAGATCTTCACGAATGGTGTAGGTCATTGTTACCGTCGCCTGGCAGTCATGGGGCTCACTGTCAGCAGCAGTAGGAAGGAGAGAAGAGGGATCGAGAGTTGGAGATCTGTGAATAGTAAGATTAGGCATAGACAGCAGCAACAATTCATAATGACTCTGTCTGGCTGCGGAAAGGTGTTGTGTGCTGGCTCTGGTAAGCAGAGCACTCACTGCATGGGGAACATAAAGTTTACACTGAGAGTCCAATACCAGGTCAGACACGGTTCTTACCATGAAAGCAGCAGCCGCCACAGCTCGGAGACACGGGGGCAAACCCAGCTCAGTGTTGTCAAGGCGAGTGGAATAGTAACCTACTGGGCGTTTGTTAGAGCCATGTTGTTGAGTGAGAACACCAGAGGCAAACCCATTGCGTTCGTGAACGTACAGCTGGAAAGGTTTGCTGTAATCAGGGAGACCCAGCGCCGGGGCCTGTGAAAGTGCTTGTTTTAAGTCAGTGAACGCTGTCTCTGCATCCTCCGTCCATTGGAGGTGCTCAGGAGCTGCCTGCAGGAGCATGTCTTGAAGGGGCCTGGCTCGAGGGGCAAAGTCTATGATCCATGGTCTGGAGTACCCGAGGATGCCTAGGAACGACTTCAGCTGCTTCTTGGTGTGGGGTTTTGGAATGTTCAAAACAGCAGAAACACGTTTACTACTGACTTGGCGGGTGTTACCTTTGAGAACATGGCCCAGGTAGATCACTTCTTGTTGCACCAGCTGGGCTTTCGTGGCGCTGGCCTTGTGTCCCTTCTCAGCCAATGACAACAACAGAGCTCTTGTGTCCGTTTCGCATGCCTCTTTGGTGGGGCTGGCTACCAACAGGTCGTCCACGTACTGGATCAAGGCACTGCCTCCAGGGAGTTGAACGTCAGCTAGATCTGTAAGAAGGGCTCGGGCAAAAAGAGTGGGGCTGTGAATAAAACCTTGTGGGAGGTGAGTCCACGTGTACTGATGCCCACCGTAGGTGAAAGCAAACAGGTACTGGGACTCTGGGGAGACAGGGATGCTGAAAAAAGCAGAACAGAGGTCAACAACAGAGTACCACTGAGTAGAAGCAGGAATAGAGGTTAGGATGGTGGTGGGGCTGGGTACTACAGGAGTCATGGGAGCCACATAGTCATTAATCAGGCGGAGATCTTGAACAAACCGCCAGTCAGGGGAGTTAGGTTTCTTAACGGGTAGAATAGGGGTGTTACAGGGGCTCTGACACGGCACCAAAACTCCTTGGTCTAAAAGGGTAGCGATGACAGGCTTAATGCCTTCCAGAGAGGCCTGTGAGAGGGGGTACTGCTGTTTTCTGGGAGCAGGACCTGATTTTACAGGAATTGACACAGGAGGGTGAGACAACATTAGGCCACACTCATTAGAGTACTGAGACCACAATGTGTCTGGGACTCCCGCTGTGGCAGGGGACTGAGGAGGAACAGAAACTGAGAACAGAGAAAGAGGGTGAGACATGTCAGTGGTCTTAAAAGGTGAAATGGTGCATACAGGATCTTGTCATCAGCTAACCATGAGTCATCTACTGTCACTGTCCATGCCACGCCCTCATAGTGGGAGTACACCATTCCTTGGTACAAATGTGAATGGTTGGAGTCAGAGTCTGTAAGGTCTTTGCTATGGGACCTAAGTCTTTAGGCTCGTAACCTTCACAGGTGTAGAGAGTCAGGTGTGGGGCGGAGTCAGGTTGCTGGAACAAGCTGGAGGCTACTGGGCCCAATTGATGTGTCAATAGGGCACCCCCTGCTTACACAACAAAATGGTGCACGCAAAAACACTACAGGCCTGTCCTAAGAAGGGAGAAAAATGATGGAAATACTCAAGGTCTCGTCCTGTAGGGTCAACGTGCAAAGTCCAGTGCATGCGGTGTGGAGGGACACAAGCTGAGGAAACATCAGGGAGGTCTGGGCTGTCTGAGAGAAACTCCTGCAATAGATCAAATGTAAAAGGCACCATGCTTCTTATAATAATATCTGACTGAAAGTCATTATACATTAGGCTGTAGAAAAGTCCAGGCTGGTTAACTGTCATGGACATCTGGGAAGTTGGAGGGAGCTGTAATTCAACAGAATTAGCATGGCATACCAAAGTGGCTTTTAACTTACCTAATAAATCTCTTCCCATTAAACTTACTGGTGAGTTGTCGCCCATAAATAGAAAAGAGTGCTCCAGATTTTGACCCTGAAAAGACACTGCAGCAGGTTGTGAGACATAATTTTGTTGCGTAATTCCAGCCACTCCTATGGTACTTAGGGTTTCTGTGGTGGGTGCAACATTAGCAGCAGCTGCATCAGAGGGAGTCAGGGTAGAAACAGTAGCCCCAGTGTCTACTAGCATCTCAGTTGAGGTCCTGTTTATTTCCATCACTGCCTTCGGATCTGGAGAAACAGAAAGAGGAGCTAATAAAAGGGGAATTAGTGTTTGTGTAAGTGTGGGTGGCTTACTTCCCTGTGAGCCTAGGTGTGGAGCCTCGTTGGCCTATTGTGGGTGCACAATTTGCTGTCTATTCATGCCTCTACCTCCGCCCCCTCCTCTAGGAGGAGCCCAGTTACTTCTGTAGGCGGGTTTGTTTAAACCTGGGGCTCCTCCTCGGCCACGCCCTCGTTGGCTGGCCTTCAATCTACAGTCTTTGGCCCAATGTCCACTTTGGCCACAGTACAGACATTGATCTGGTCTTACCTGTTGACCTTGGGGTGGCTCTCGACTGTGAAAGGGGTTGGTTCCTTGAGCTGCTGGAAAGGGGTGATAAACTGGCCACTGTGTGGGAGCTGGAGATAAAAACTGTGTCTGTGGGAGAGAGGAGGGTTGGGTAGGGGCAGCCTGCTGAGGCTGTTGCACAATCATTTGTTTTACAGCACCAGAATATTGTTTACGTTTGTCTTTCTTTCCCTTATTTCTGTGTCTTAGTTTATTTTTGTTTTTACAATCGGTGTCAGACTCTGAGCTAGAACTATCAGAGGATTCAGCATTTCGTCGATTTCTTTCCAAGTGTTTGGCTATAGCTACACACTGTTCTAGAGTTTTTACCTCCCACGCGAGGTCTTGTTTTATCACTTCTCTGGAATGTCTTTCTAATCCGTCAACGAATGCGCGCGGAAGAAGCGGGGCGAACTGCTCTGAGGTTAAGCCTGAGTATTTCTTAAATGTGTTTTGCAACCTAGTCACAAAATCTTCCACCTGTTCCTCTTCTCTTTTATGTAGTCCTGACAGTTTACCCCAATCTGGGTTGACTTTGAATTTAGTCTGTAAATCCTTCATTATTTCTTCCAACATAAGTTCGCCCCTTTCTTCTGTCTGATCTTTTGCAGCTGCGCTCTGTGCATCAAGATGTATTCTCCATCTATCCTCGAGCTTAGGCCAACGCGCCATACAAAAGCTGTACCAGTCACCCTGACAGGGATGGAAACATCCAGACAGTCTCTTTAGATATGTTATAGTCTGAGTCACGTCCTTCTTAGGATCTGGGGTATCGTCAGTCAGTTGTTTTAATTCCATTTTAGTCCAGGGGCGGTATGCAGTGATAAGAGACCCATCCCCATTTATTCCTGGAAATATTCTTAAAGGGGCTTCGAGCACGTGTGTGCCTCCCTGTCCTGATCCGCTAGCTCCTTTCTGACCCTGCTCCTTTTTGTCTTGTTCTTTTTTAAATTTTTGCTGTTTAACTCTTTCAGATTGCTTCGGTGCTTTTTGTTCTTCATCTGATCCGCCCGAAAGCTCCTTACTGCTATCTCCCCCTCCCTCTGCTCGCTCATCCTGTTGTTGCGGTGCAGCTGCAGCCTGTCCGCTTCTGCCCTGTCTGGGTGCAGGTGCTCGTGGTGTATTTCTATACAGGTACAATTCGTCATCTGAGCTATAGTCAGGGGGAGAGCCTTCTTTTGTTAACAGGCTGGGGTACAACTTAACAGTTGAGCCCTTTTTACCAAATGGATTATTCGGAGACCAAGCTGTAACTTTGGCTTTATCTGTTTTTGGGGGTTTGCTTGGCTCTCCTGGCTGATTAACTGAATGTAACATTTATCTAACTTTCTCGTTTGCTTCACCTTCCTGCTGTGTCTTTTCTGACATTTCAGCCGCTGTTTTCAGCGCTGTTCTCTCCCTACTTACTGCTGCTTTCTTTTCAACATGACCTTTCACAAGCCCCCAATGGAGGTCTTCACTCTTCTTTGGTCCTCCTTTTCCTTTGCCATCTTTTCCCCACCACTTTTCTTTCAACATTTTATCCACTTTTGCGCATTTCTTTGGGTCGCAAGTGCCCAGTACCGGCCATTTTTTTTTTTTTTTTTTTTATTTATTTATTTATTTATTTATTTATTTATTATTATTATTATTTTTTATTATTATTATTATTATTATTTTTTTTTTTTGTTCCAACGTTTGAAAATTTTAAGCCAATCTATGTCAGGGTACCCTGTTTTCATTTGCATTAAGATTGATCTATCCGGAGTATTACCTTCGCCATCAGGCTTTAGTTTACTGGTTGATTTTCCCATTGTTCCTTTTATTTGTTTGTTTTATTTTATCACTTTAGCATAGCCATTTTACTTTATCCTTGTTTTTGCAATTCTTTGCTTAATTTCTGTTTTCACTGTACTCCCTCAAACGTCTCTGAGGTTTCCCATGAAACCCAGATTTTTAGTTTAACATTCTGTTTTCACTGTACTCCCTCAGACGTCTCTGAGGTTTCCCATGAAACCCAGAATTTCAGTTTAATATTCTGTTTTCACTGTACTCCCTCAGACGTCTCTGAGGTTTCCCATGAAACCCAGAATTTCAGTTTAATATTCTGTTTTCACTGTACTCCCTCAAACGTCTCTGAGGTTTCCTCATGAAACCCAGAATTTTAGTTGAACAAATTCGTTCCCACTATTTTATACAAATTTAGGTACTTGATTTTATTCTTCTTCTTTTATTTACCTTATTTTATTCTTCTTCTTTTATTTTTTTCACTATCGTCCGATGGTCAGAGTGGTTTCACACAGTTCTGGTTCTTTACCCAAAATTTATCAGGGATTCCGTTACCAAACCTAGAGCTCCCTTCTCACAACTCTATACTCTCCACCCCTAAACTGTCAAACTTTAGAAAAGGTGTTTGACTTACCTATTCCTCAGTTGATTTGGGTGGAGAAGTTGTTTCGGAGGAAACTACCCGGTTGATGTTAGGAATCCCATCCTCGTCGCCATGTAATTGTGGTAGAACTGAGCCTGCAGAAAATCAGCAGAAAGAGGAAACCCTCCGACCCTTGGGACGAGAGCAAATAAAAGAGACTTTCAGAAACTGTTGAGTTGCTAAGTCACCCAGTTTATTACATGCAGCATGGAGAGAAGTTCAGCTATGCGTACAGGATACACAAAGTAAGTTCTCTGCCCGCTCTTGGGGCGTACAATCTTTATATACTTGAGCATATAGTGTGATCGAAACTTACAGAGGAGGATCAAAGAAACAGGTGCAGCTTTATCTGTGTCAGCACCTTGTGGTCAGTGTATAAATATGTGAATGTAGCAGTAACTTGTCCTTGAGAGTTTAAAAAATAGTCCTTATAAGGAGCTGTTGTTGAGTCTGTGTACGTGAGATAAAACACCTGTGGTGAGGTGAGTATCGTGCAAGGTTCGTGTGTTGCAGTGGTCATATAAGGACACGGTGCATGTATACGTGATATGTGTAATGCTATGTGTAATGCATTGGATCAGTTAATGAGCAAACATAAAAGTATAAAGAATATAAGATTCCACAATGGTTATGCACCATGAACGACAAAACTACCAGCAACAAACACCACGTCATTCTGAACAGGTGACAATATGGTTCACAAAAGTCCTCATTGGACAGTATCTCCGCCTGTCACGTGGAAGACCGGGGTTCGATTCCCCAACGGGGAGTGCTATTCTTTCTACCAGCACTCCCATTACTTGCCACATAAGAAAGGGGCTTCACTCTCAAGCTGAGGTGAAAAAGTGGTGAAAGTCCCACAAATCTCCAAGTTCCAGGTTTGCCTCCGGTTTGCCTCTTTTGCTCTCAACTTTGATGGACTTCCTGCATATAAGCCAGGTCCCCTAAAATGCCATTGGTAATTGCTATTGGGCTACAAAAGGTGACCTGAATGCCTGTGAAAAGGGAGATGCGGTCCCTGCGTGAGGATTTAGCATTTAAGCGGACGTGTCTGCCAAAGGAGATTATCCACAGCAGAAAGAGAACAGCCACTTGTTTCCGCCCGGTCTCGAACCGCTGATGCAGCACGGGGAGGACTTAACCCACAATTTGTGGGACTTTTACCACTTATCATTGTCAGCGAAACTCTGCCTACTGGACCGGCTGTATTTGAAATGCTGGTAAATGCTGGAACACTGCCATCAGCCCGTTCACGAGCCCAAAACAACACCACAAAAGTCCTCATTGGACAGTATCTCTGCCTGTCATGTGGAAGACTGGGGTTCGATTCCCCGACGGGGAGTACTATTCTTTCTACCAGCACTCCCATTACTTGCCACATAAGAAAGGGGCTTCACTCTCAAGCTGAGGTGAAAAAGTGGTGAAAGTCCCACAACTCTCCAGGTTCCAGGTTTGCCTCTTTTGCTCTCAACTTTGATGGACTTCCTGCATATAAGCCAGGTCCCCTAAAATGCCATTGGTAATTGCTATTGGGCTACAAAAGGTGACCTGAATGCCTGTGAAAAGGGAGATGCGGTCCCTGCGTGAGGATTTAGCATTTAAGCGGACGTGTCTGCCAAAGGAGATTATCCACAGCAGAAAGAGAACAGCCACTTGTTTCCGCCCGGTCTCGAACCGCTGATGCAGCACGGGGAGGACTTAACCCACAATTTGTGGGACTTTCACCACTTATCATTGTCAGCGAAACTCTGCCTACTGGACCGGCTCTATTTGAAATGCTGGTAAATGCTGGAACACTGCCATCAGCCCGTTCACGAGCCAAAAACAACACCACAGAAGTCCTCGTTAGTATAGTGGAAAGTATCTCCGCCTGTCACACGGGAGACCGGGGTTCGATTCCCTGACAGGGAGTACTATTCTTTCTACCAGCACTCCCATTATTTGCCACATAAGAAAGGGGCGTCACTCTCAAGCTGAGGTGAAAAAGTGGTGAAAATCCCACAACTCTCTGTACCTCTAAAGGGGAAAAATTAAGGAAAATTGGCCAAGGAGAGAAACTCATACATGGTAGGTGAAAGGAAATGAGAAATTGGTGTTGTGACAGTGAATTTTACAGATTGTGACAGATTTTTTAGTCCTTCTCAGCTGTACTTATCATCAAACCCCACACCATTGTTTACACAGTGCTCCAAACATTGTGAGGTTGCCTGAATATTTGGACTGGGCACAGTCTGATTGTTATACTCCTAGCAAGCTCAGGGCGACAGACAATATTTCTGTGCCAAAGGAGATTATCCACAGCAGAAAGAGAACAGCCACTTGTTTCCGCCCGGTCTCGAACCGCTGATGCAGCACGGGGAGGACTTAACCAACAATTTGTGGGACTTTCACCACTTATCATTGTCAGCGAAACTCTGCCTACTGGACCGGCTCTATTTGAAATGCTGGTAAATGCTGGAACACTGCCATCAGCCCGTTCACGAGCCAAAAAAAACAACACCACAGAAGTCCTCGTTAGTATAGTGGACAGTATCTCCGCCTGTCACGCGGAAGACCGGGGTTCAATTCCCTGACGAGGAGTACTATTCTTTCTACCAGCACTCCCATTATTTGCCACATAAGAAAGGGGCGTCACTCTCAAGCTGAGGTGAAAAAGTGGTGAAAATCCCACAACTCTCTGTACCTCTAAAGGGGAAAAATGAAGGAAAATTGGCCAAGGAGAGAAACTCATACATGGTAGGTGAAAGGAAATGAGAAATTGGAATTGTGTTGTGACAGTGAATTTACAGATTGTGACAGATTTTTTAGTTCTTCTCAGCTGTACTTATCATCAAACCCCACACCATTGTTTACACAGTGCTCCAAACATTGTGAGGTTGCCTGAATATTGGACTGGGCACAGTCTGATTGTTATACTCCTAGCAAGCTCAGGGCGACAGACAATATTTCTGGACCTCGACACAAGCTTTGAAGGACATCCTGGCCATGACTACCGATTCCGTGTGCTGGTCATCTATAACAGTGTGACTAGCTACTCGAGACACCAGCATGGAGTTGGGGTGGAGAGATTACATTTACCACCTGATTGCTCCCTGCCGCAATAAGCAGATATGTCCTGAGAGATTAACATAAGGCTATGTAGTCGTCAGATGAGAGCAGATAGGTTCCAGGTTTGCCTCCGGTTTGCCTCTTTTGCTCTCAACTTTGATGGACTTCCTGCATATAAGCCAGGTCCCCTAAAATGCCATTGGTAATTGCTATTGGGCTACAAAAGGTGACCTGAATGCCTGTGAAAAGGGAGATGCGGTCCCTGCGTGAGGATTTAGCATTTAAGCGGACGTGTCTGCCAAAGGAGATTATCCCCAGCAGAAAGAGAACAGCCACTTGTTTCCGCCCGGTCTCGAACCGGGGACCTTTCGCGTGTTAGGCGAACGTGATAACCACTACACTACGGAAACTGACAAAAAGCTTCTCCTGGTCATTCGTCACGTAGTCAACTGGCTTTCTGAATTCAAACGCTTCAAATGCTGGACAACCGATTATTCAGAGTTGACTTTTCTACCTGCTGATGGTTATGCACCATGAACGACAAAACTACCAGCAACAAACACCACGTCATTCTGAACAGGTGACAATATGGTTACTTTCAGAATGAAAGCTAAAGAGAATGGAAAGGTAAGATGTATGCAATACACTGCAGCTCAAATGGACATAACTATTGGAAATGGACGAGGTGATTGAAGTTGCTGGTTCCTGTCTTTTGCCTTCATCAGCCAATGTGTTCACTGTGCTTTATAGCAACACGGCACGTGATGTTTGGACAGAGTTGAGTTAGAGATAAATCCTCAGGGGGGTAAAACACACAATAGAATGTTTCCGCCCGGTTTCGAACCGGGGACCTTTCGCGTGTGAGGCGAACGTG